AAGTTTGAACTTGATCAATCCAGACATGTCTCAGGATACGGATCCAGAACTGAATTCTTTAAAACAAAATGGCCGCCAGTCGGCTATTTCGAACTTGATCCGAAAAAAAAAATGACGTGCATCAAGGTCCTATTATGTTTAATGTATGTACCAAATTTGAATGAAATCCGTCCATGCATAACTGAGATCCGGGTCCGGAATGGTGAAAATGTGCGATTTCAATGCATTTTCGGCCTTAAAGCGGCCGCCATTTGGCTATCGTTAATGAGATCATGAAACAAATGCACATACATATTTGTGACATGATGTACCTTGTGTGTGTGAAGTTTGAACTCGATCAATCCAAGCATGTCTCAGATACGGATCCAGAACTGAATTCTTTAAAACAAAATGGCCGCCAGTCGGCCATTTCGAACCCGATCCAAAAAAAAAAATGACGTGCATCAAGGTCCTATTATGTTTAATGTATGTACCAAATTTGAACAAAATCCGTCCATGCATAACTGAGATCCGGGTCCGGAATGGTGAAAATGTGCGATTTTGATGCATTTTCGGCCTTAAAATGGCCGCTATTCGGCTATCGTTAATCGGATCATGAAAAAAATGCATGTGCATATGTCCCATATAATGTGTGATATATGAGTGAAGTTTGAACTCAATCGGTCCATGCATGTTCGAGATACAGGTGATCACGGACGCACGGAAGCACGGACGGACGGACGCACACAGGGCAAAACATAAGTCCCCGTTTTCGGACTGCGTCCGAACGGGGACTAAAAAAATTGTAAAAATATATGATTCAGACTTTCTCTAAAAGTCGCTCAGTTACTATAACAATCTATATATCGTCTAAAAGTTTAAATATAGACAAATATGCAAGTGCATATGCTGTACTAATGTTTTGTATATTAGAAAACATGATGGCCAATTTCACAGGTCAAAAAAATCTAAAGGTGGTTTTACGATTTGTGAGGGTCCCGGCTCCACATTTATTTAGTTTTTGCTTTGCCCTTCAATGACATGTTCAGGGCAAGGTATATCTGGAAAAATGTCTGTGTTCTTTGCTGATTCTTTGTGAGCTTATCTATGCAAAAAAGTTACATTATTTGCTTGAAGGTTCGATATCTGTGCCTGCAAGGTTTGTTTCATCATTCAGACTAGACCCATAATTGTATAAGTTAGAGTGGTAGTCGTGACCTGATTTTGCATAAGTGTAAATAATTAGCTGTGGCAATATAAACAATAGAATGGCATAAAGCAGTTCTCATAGTTTCTATTCATGTAAGGGTGTGTACTAAAATGAGTGGAATCACAACAATTACAGTAATTATAATTTATTATAAAAACAATGGAATATTTACAATTCATTGCTTATTAATATATCCAATAGTTGTACATAACATTGTGTTAAACACATGCAACATTTAGTACAAAATTAAATAAAATATAAAACAATTCCAAATAAATGCAATGTATAAAAAATATGCTGTGGTCTACATCTACATTATTTACAACTTTAAATTCAGAAAAAGTGTGTTATTTTAAGTAAGTATATGCCAGCAAATTATGCACTGATATCAAGTAGTATAATTCAGTATAAATAGTAATCAGAAATGTACAACAGTGAGTCACTGTGACAATATATTGAATCTAATGACAAGAAATCATATCCTTCTGTACCTGTTGACAAAATGTTTTGAAGAACTCAATATTTCATTTGTAAACATAAAGACGCTGCAAAGGATGACAATGCTTCAGGAGATGTACATTCTTTTACAACAGCATACAGTTATAAATGTCCCCAGTGCAGCTATCAATTACTGCAAATTTGTGAGTATACACAGTTGTCAGGCAGTTTTAAAACAGTTTCTGAAAAAAACATGACTCTAGTATTAATTTATCTCACAAACTTGTGTCCTTGAAACTGCTTTCATTTTAAATAATAAATTTACATTTTCGGCAAAAATTCAAAAATGTTTAATATACATTTCTGGTTGTACATTTCCAGACAACATGTAAAAAACAATTTTAATAAAATATTGTTTGAAATTAAGATTTCATTTACATTCCAGAAAGATTAATATTCAAATACATGTAATTGAAAAAATTAATTTCTAAAAAAAATGTTTGTGAAAGATAGTTATTTAAGCTAACAAAATTGTTTAAAAAATGAGTGCAGTAAAAGATGTTTAATAAACGCTTTTGTTTCAAATGTTTAAACTGAAAACAAATTTTAACTGTTCAAAAAAAACTGTTGTGTAGTAGACACTACCAAAAAGTAGCAGCATGTTTAAATCATTACGTGCTTTGCTTCATCTTTGTAGAGATTTGCTTTTTTACATGTTACCATGACTACCATTATAGTGTTTATGGAATGGAAGCAATGGTTAGCAGTGCACGATGTTAGTTAGCACAGATAGTACCCACAAAGCAATGCCTCTCAAAGAAAACCAAAATTTATAAACTGAAGAAAGCTACTGGGATAGATATATAGAACAATGTAGTAGATAATTGTAGTCCTTGATAAGTATTCAATATAACCAATGGTATTTCTGAATAGAGTGAGAGATTGTAGAAAATGCAACCAACTCACAGTCACTTGGGGGCTGAAAATCAATAAATACTAATTTTCAAAAAAAAATCATCCGCTATACATATATAAATAAACAAGTTGTGAAACACGGCACCTAGTAAATCGACACC